TGACTGGGTAAAGGGGACACCTGCACAGACATTGTTGTTACACTAATAAAAATGATACCAACAGGATCTTGTAAGAGGGACAAGGCAAATTGCCACATTTACTGTAAATACAACAAAATATTCCTATATGCAATTTCTATATAGATCCATTCACACACACAGACCTTCACACACAGGTTCTACATAAAGGTTATTATAGTTACCAGCCTAGATGTTGCTCGTGCCAAGTCACTGGCCAGGTGGCCTGGACACGAGAGTGGAGCCGAATCGTTGTCAGATGCACATCCGATGCTCCTGGAGGGTGGTCGTAGAACCAGACTCAAAGAACACAGTCCCTGGACCCAATTTTTATAGGTCTCTGGTTCCATACAAGTCTATGGAAGTTGCTCCATCATGCTGAATTTACAATTGAGAGACCATCAATCAGCACAATCAGCAGGTGGTACATCCATGACGGCTCCATGATGGCTAGGTGTTATCTTCTTGTTCTTCCTTGATGCGTTTTGGGTGGATTCCGGTTCGCCCTTCCATGGGTCATCCGGTTATCTCCACTTTGCATATTCTTCGGCCCATCAATATCAAGGTTGAAATTCTTAGGATTAGGCTGGCACCATTTACTAACCAATTATTTCCCTGCTTCAGGCTCTCAATTCCAGGCATTCATCATTCATTCTTTTACTTAACAACACAATCTATGACTCTTGATTCATTTAACAATTTTTATGCCACTATCTATTTTTCCCTCTTTGGATACCAAGATTTACATAGGCATGACAAGGGGCCCCCACGGGGGAAAGAGCATTAGGGTGTTGTTTTAAAGAACAGCATTGTTTCCTCAAAGTTCTTATCACTTTCCAGCACAGACTCTTTGTCCTGAAATAATTAGCACTTTGGCCTTTCATTTGTTACAGAGTGAAATTCAACAGCATGGAACTGATGTTCATACCTTTTTACAATACCTATATACTCTTTTGTCTATCTTTATTTCTACTACTACATAATTATAATTCTATCACACTTATATAACTTTGAGGGCGACGCAACTTTGTGAGAAGCCTTCCACCAGTTGAGTGAATCTCTTACTTGACAAGGCACTGACACTTGTCAGTCTAGCCTGTGTTACTCAGTGAATAAACTGCTCTGAGACATCACAGATGCAGCAAAGGCATAACCTTGCATGACGTGGTACAAAGGTACAAGCTGCCATATGTCCCAAGAGTTGGACATAATGTACTACCACAGTCTGTGGGCTTATTTAAATCCTCATGCTAAAATTTGACAGGGTTGTGAATCTGTCCAGGGGAAGGCACAACAGCCAGAGAAGCCCCTATGACTTCTATTCTTGGTACGGGGTCAAGATAGAGTTCTTGATATTGAGCTGAAAACCTAGCCTGAGGAACAGGGACAAACCTGTTTGTATGGCAGAAAGAACCTCATTGTAAGACCAGCTCTTGATTAGCCAGTTGCAGAGGTATGGAAAGATTATTATCACCTGTTGATGAAGGTAGGCAGTGACCACTGCCAGAACCTTCTAAAATATTGTCGGCGAAAGGGTAACGAACGGAAGTACTCAGTATTGGAAGTGGTCCTGGCCTACCACAAAGCAAATGACTCTCTTGTGAGACAAGTGAATCATGATAAGCAAATATGCATCTTGAAAGTTGAGGGGTAAAAACCATCCCTGAATCTAACCAGGGAATTGTAGGTGCAAGAGGAATCATCCTGAACTTTCATACTTTCACAAAGTTGTTTAGGAGTCTTAGTTTTAAAATGGGTCTTCACCCTCTGTTTTCTTTTCGGACCATAAAGTACTGGGAGTAAAACCCTTCCATCTGTGCTGAGCAGGAACTGGTTTTATAGCTTTTAAATGTAGAAGGGTATTGATTTCCTGTCTCAGCAAATGCTCATAAGAGTGATCCCTGCAGAGGGACAGGAAAGAGGAGTGAGCTGGGGGGAAGGGAAGTAAAATGGATGGTGTATCCCAGTGTTATGACCTCCAAGATCTATTTGTTGGATGTAATCTGCTCCCATAGCAGTTGAAAATGGAAGAGGCGGCCTCCACATGTGGGGATGCAGGCAAAATGTTGCAGCTGGAGATGCAAAAAACAGGGATGATTTGGACCTTCAACCAAGCTGTTAAAATTGACATTTTGTCAACGAGGAGAATTGTGTGGTTGAACCAGGTGCAGTGAGTGGTCTCTTTCTCTGAAAACTTGATTGCTGCCTTGGGAGTTCGGTAGGTCTTTGGACTTCCCTAGGCTGGAGCCAAGATGCCTGTTTCATGACAACTGCCATGGAGAAGGAATGAGCAGCAGTGTCTGGGGCATCCAGGGAGGCTTATATAGATGTCCTGGCAAGCAGCTGACTCTTGGCTATGATGGTTTGGAACTGCAATGTTATTTATTTATTGTTTGTTATAGATATTACCTCAATTAAGCAAGGTACTTATGCACATGAGTAATCCTATTAATTTGAAATGGAACAACTCATGCTGAAAGTTAGTCACATACTTAAGTAACTGACTGAATCAGGACCCAGTAAAATACATGAACTTTTAAAACGAAGCAGTACTCAAATACTCAAGTACATGAGTAAGGTGAATGTGTTGTGTTGAATACCTGTTATATCACTAGATTTTTAGGGCAATTTTTATGCAGTTATATTGGGGAGGGGGCAAGAGAGTTGGATGGGTTAGGAGATTTGTAATGCGCTATGGAGCTTTTCACCTCTCTATCTCTTGTTCAGAGCCAGTGGTGAGCTTTTCAGTGAAAAGTAACTGTGAAAACAAGTTAATCATCTTAGTTCGGTTCCTCAAGGATAGGTATATTGGCAATATTTGCAGAGAGGACAGGGGCTGAATGAATTTAACTAAAAATGGAGGATCTCACTCCCCAGGATTGTTGCCAGCACCTTTTATGACTCATAAGCTCTACATTCACTAAAAATTAAAAATAGTTCTTTGGAACAAATGACAAACAATGTCTGATAAATGGGCAAGACCATTCCCAATTATTGGTTTCTTCAGTTTCAGGAAAAACAGTTACGTAATCAGGCAAACACAGAAGTTGTGGCCAGAATCCCAGTGTGTGGAAACATTTTCTAATATCACACATGGGTACACAACCTGCTATTTGTAACACTAGTAAGATTTATGGGAAGATTAGAAAGCCGGAGACCTCATTTTCTTCAATGTTATATTTTCCTTCTTTTCTAGACTTTCCATTTTCCTCAGTCTTAGTCATTGTTCCAGTCAAGACCTAAAGTGGAAGATAAAATATTCAGTAACCACAATGAAAAAGGTCTGAGAGACTGAGATTAACTGTCCGAAAAATGAGAAGAAAACCCTGTTAAAAGAAACAGGAGAATAATGGCTTAACAGTTGCTTGGCCTGTGCAGGTGAGGGAAGTTACCATTTTCCTGTTTTACTATTAGAAGACCCTGTCCTGCAAACACTACCTACCAAGTATTTTTAAACTATTATGAGCAGGCCCCTTCAACCAATGGGATCACTCCTGGGAGAAAACACTATGCTCCTCAGGAAGAAGTTGCAGGACTCCCAGGGAAATTTACAACAGACAACAAAAAAAATCCCTACTGGTTTTAACACCTGGTATAGAGAGGCCTATTTTTATCACCATTTAAGTTACAGCAGCTGGAAAGCAACATGGTGGTAAAAAACAGTCCAGCAGAGAGAGCCCTCTCTGCACTAAGGCTCCTACTATTTCTAACACCGATTCCACTGAAATTGTTTTGCATATGTGGCAGTAATGGCCTTAGTGCGCCTTTATCTATCTAACAAAGGCACCAGGTCCTGCACATGCACATGCTTATCATTTCATCAATTGAAATTAATAGGACTCCTCCTAGTAAAGTGTTATACAAAAGGTATTCATTTTCTTATTTATTATTAATATTATTAATTGGATGGTAGCTTAGTTAAGCATCCTTGTATTGTAGGATCAAGTCCAATATTTATACTGAAATTATTTTAACCAGTATTGTACAACTGGACAATTTTTATGTTATTGCAAAGAGTAGGTGGCAAACGTGCCCAGAACCAGCTTTGCATGGCACTGTTAGTAGGTCGCTAACCTGAAGTTTCAGGATAGTTAAGAGAATCTATGTAACTGAGGCAAGAAATTCCAGCCTGGCACTGACGCAAGACTGACGAGGTCACGTGAAAAATCCTCACTAACAAACCAGGGCTGAAGGAGCCCCTTCTAATTCTGTCCCATTCCTTTGAAATGATTCATTAGCAAACATTTGCACCTGTAACAGACACTGAAACCACACCAGTCTGGCGTTTGTCTGTGCTTCATGGATGTTTAGTTATTCCCAGACAGTGAAACAGTCTGATCTGATCCAAACACAGTGTTTATACGTTTTTTTTAAGCAGGAAGGGGAAAAAGTCAGATCAAATACCCTTCCTCTTCTCCTGGCTCTTCCAGGGAAAGCACAGCTTTAGGGGACACTTGCCTGGCCAGGTTTATTTATTCTGCTGATGGGCTAAGTCTCTCCCATGTGAAATTTCATTTTTCAATGAACACTTACTCTGGGAGACAAAGTTGTAGTGCATTTCTCGTGTGACTCATGCAGAAAACCAGTAATGGATAGGCGAGAGTTTATTTGCTGAGGGGTTTACCTCAATTAAAAGGGCATTAAGGATACTTGACTGTTGCTTAAATCCTCCGAAGTGGCCGTATCGTGGGAGATATTTTGGCCAGAATATTTCCCAGAAACATGTTTCCGCTCTTACTAGGCGCTCACCCTCAGTCTCCCCAGTCTTGATGAGCTAATAGCATTTTTCCTTTGCATAGTTTGGCATTGCCCCACGGCCTGGCAGGCTGCGTGTGTCTGCGGGCCTCGAGGTGCCTGCAGGCTCGCCCCAGCTCGAGACGTGCAGCTAGAGGTGTATATATACCGAGGGAGGGATCCTTTTGTCTCCTTCTCCCTGCAAGGAGGCTCGGGCCGCGGAGGGGAGGCAGCGGCGGGGCAGATGTGAGGCGCTGTCAGACTCGCACGTTCCCCATCGCATTACGTGAGCAAACAGCGGCGGAGCAGCCTGCCAGGCGGGCTTGTGTAACTTTGCAAATGTGCCAGAAAGTTTAAAATCCCTCAGCCCTCCTCCTCCCGCCTCCAGTCCAGACCCCAGAGAAAGCCGGAGGACGATGAGAGGCGGGTCGCTTGCTGCTGCTGCTATTCAGAGCCGTGCCCTGTAAACACCCCGGGAGCGGAGAAGCTCCCTCCTTTCGGAAGGTCTCTGCCTCCCCGGGCCGCCTGCGGGGATCGAGCCTGGCTGCGGCCAGCGGCGTTTGGCGAGCGACCTTCGCGCCCGGCCGGGGCTCTTGAAGCGGGGAAGATGCACGTGGCGCTGCCCGCGGCTTTGCTCGCCCCGCTGCAGGTGTGGCTGTACCTGAGCTGCACCTGGCCCGCCGGCTGCCAGCCGCCGCCGCGCCACAACCCGCCGGCGCCCGCCGCCTGGAGGCAGCGGATTCAGTGGGAGAACAACGGGCAGGTGTACAGCCTGCTGAGCCTGGGCTCCCAGTACCAGCAGCCCCGGCGCCGGCAGGCAGCGGCCGCGGGCAGCCCCATCCTGCTGCTCCGAAACAACGCCACCGCCCCGCGGGGGGCTGCTGCTGCTGCTGCTGCTGCTGAAGCCGGCGCTGCCCAGCCGCCGGCCGGAGCCGCCAGCAGGGGCTCGGGCGCTCGCCACTGGTTTCAGGCCGGCTACCAGCCGCCCCCCGGCGGCACCGCAGGGCAGAGGAGCCAGGGAGCCGCGAGCGGTTCAGCCAGGAGCCCTCCCCAGGGGGCGTCTCGGCCCAGCGCCCCCCACAGCTCAGGCGCCGGCTCCAGGAGGGGCAACAGCACCAGCCCCGGCGCTGGCAGCCCCCCGCCCCTGAGCAATCTGAGAGCCGGCCGGGAAGATGCCATGGTCGGAGACGATCCCTACAACCCCTACAAGTACACGGACGACAACCCCTATTACAACTACTACGACACCTACGAGAGACCCCGCCAGGGCAGCAGGTACAGACCCGGCTATGGCACCGGCTACTTCCAGTATGGTAAGAGCCCCCCCGCACCCCTCGAGCACGAGCAGTAACACCTCGCCCAGGGCTCCAGCAGGGGCCCCGCCGCTAGCTCCTAGCTGGGCTCCCCGCCGCCAACCCAAACGCCAGCACAGCACATAGCGATAGGCTTTGGCAGGGGGCTCACATCCCAGCATGCTCTGGAGAAATGACCAGCCCTGCCTGCCCCCCACACGAGGCAAACAACTGACGCGGTCCTAGGATTCCTAGGATCATATGGTGGTGGTAGGGGCCCGAGAGCCCTCAGGATTTACGAGGCGAGAGGCTGGCAGCAAACAATAGGCTCTGCCTGTCCAGCGAGAAGCCTAAATGGTTCTTGTGACCTAAAGCGTGGCAGGAGCCTTTGGCCAAAATAACTCCTCCTAATGCTTGAAAGTGAAACAAAACGTTGGCAGACATGTTCTGGGTTTGATCGTGCTGTTGTGTGGTTGGTTTGATGAACTGCAGGTCTCCCTGACTTAGTCCCGGATCCCTATTACATCCAGGCATCCACATATGTCCAACGGGTGTCCATGTACAGCCTGAGATGCGCTGCTGAGGAGAACTGCCTGGCAAGGTAGGCATCTCTGCTGACTTCTCCTTTACATTAGCCTCAGGCACTTGCTCCAGTTTCTTCCAGCCTGGGTACCCAACAGCAAGGAAACCAGGAGGGAGTAGGTAAAGATAGAGGCCTTGATAACAGGTCCTGAGTCTAGCTTCTTTTGTGGCCTTCTTATAATTTTTCAACAACAGACAACAAGAAAGGGTAATATACTAGCCCTGATTTCTAAAAGTGACAAGTGCTTTTAGGTGCCTCTGTTTTACAAAGATTAGCTCATTTGAGATGTTTTAAAGGAGCCTGATTTCCAAACGGTTGGTACTGGGCCCTTTCTGAAAATCAGGCCTTTTTAAACATCACTGAAGATAGGTATATTAAAGCACTTGTCACTTTTGAAAATCTTTGTCCCTGATTTTAGCTGGAATCTGATCTTTTTTTAACTCTCTCCTTTAATGTGAATAAGTCGTCTTGTTTCATTTTTAAAAAGGCACCATTTGTGTGGGTTAACAAAATACTGTATGCACTATGCTTAGGCAGATGCAATATACCTTCTGTGAGTCAATCTAGCAGAAAAATATTTGCGATAATCTTAGAATTTGAGAAAAAAAATTCTTTACTCGTGAGTTGTCCCTATCCCCTTGGCAAAGAGAGATTTTTCCTGTTTTGACTGGAACTGAAATTAAGATGGCTGAGTTTCATAAATTTAACTTGTAGAGTACCTTACCCTGCAAAACAACTTTGTTTATTCACCAGTTTCATAAACTGGTTGTAGCATAGCATTAAGGAAACATTTTTGTTAATTTGCTGCAGGAAAACCAGCAAAGGGTAGCACAGAAGGTTGTTTATGGTAGTCTCACAAAAATGGCTATTTAAAATTGTTCTTGTTGGTAGATTGGTAGTTAAAAATTTAAAAGGTTAGATTATAATTATTTTAAGATAGACCACATTTGGGACCAAAATGTCTTGATTGTAGCCTTTTAAACTACAATGGAAACAAAATATACTGTGGCCATGAGATCAACTACAAGATATTGTGTTTTACAGAAACTATCGAAAAACAGTTTTTCATGCTAAACAAGGACATTTTTACAGCTATCCATTGTTAAAGTGATATTATGCTCTTGGCTATTGTTAAACACCATTGATTTCCCTAAGTATCAAAGAGTTTCTAACCCGTGCTCATCAGGTATCAAATCCTACTCTTACTGAAATCAGGGACAAAATTAACATCAACAGAAGGACTGAGTCCTAGAATGTTACTAAAGCCTGCATCCAATACCAGAAGCTCCTAACCACACCACAGAGCATTCTTGAATATCCTTAGCTATTAAAATTAATGGGGTTGAGGGCAGTGATGAGCTGCCAAAATCTTAATTGGTTCCCTCCTCACCCCACGAGAGGGTCACTGCCTCCTGCCCCATCCAACCCCTGTCCCCTGATTGCCCCCAGAACCGGGCAGGAGGGTCTCGTGGGCCACCATAGTGGGTGCCCACCCCACCCCTAAAAGCCGGAGGGACCTGCGGGGGGGCGAGTTGGGGAGTCCCGGAGGTGCTTACCTGGGGCAGCTCCCAGGAAGCATCCGGCAGGTCCCTCTGGCTCCTAGGGGCAGGGGAGCATAGCTAGGGAGGGAGCAGGGGGAGTGACTGCTCCCCCCACTGATCACAGCAAAAGTGGTGCCTACTCCGTGGGTGCTCTGGGGCTGGAGCACCCACGGGGAAAATTTGGTGGGTGCAGAACACCCACTAGCAGCTCCCCACACGGCATCTGGCCCCAGCTCACCTCCGCATCCGCTCCTGAACGCACCGCCCCGCTCTGCTTCTCCATGCCCCCCCGGGCTGAGAAGCAGACGGTGGCTTCACACTCAAGCTGAGGGTGGCGGAGTTGAGCTGGGGTGAGGAGTGGTTCCCCTGCGCGCCCCGCCCCCCTCCCCCCCCGTGTTACCTGCTGCGGTGTGAGCGGTCCTCCTTGCGTCTCCGCACCCCAGCTCACCTCCGCCTCCCTGGGCCTGAGTGCGAAGCCGCCGCCTGTTTCTCAGCCAGCCCTGGCTTCCTGCGCAAACAGCTGATTCGCAGGAAGCCGGTGGGGAGGGGGGGGGCGGAGAAGCAGAGCAGGGCGGTGGGTTCAGGGGAGGAGACGGATGCGGAGCGGTGTGCTGGGGCCGGGTGTGGGGGGGGGTGGGGAGCTGCCAAATTTTCCCCTTGGGTGGTCCAGCCCTGGAGCACCCATGGAGTCGGCGCCTAAGGCGCCACTTTTGGCTGGTTAAATTTAGAAGCCCTTTTAGAACCGGTTGTCCCTTGTGGAACAATCGGTTCTAAAAGGGCTTCTAAATTTAACAATTGGTCTAGCGAACCGGTAGGAACCGGCTCCAGCTCACCACTGGTTGAGGGTGCTCTGCAACTTGCTAATTATCTCATATAGTCACAGAGGGTTGAATGCTAGATCATAAGCTAAGAAGAAGCAATTTTGAGTGTCTGCTTAATATTTTGTAAATATACTTACGCCTCTTTTTACATCATTGCAGTTCAGCTTACAGGGCAGATGTCAGAGATTATGATGCTCGAGTGCTTCTGAGATTCCCCCAAAGAGTGAAAAATCAAGGCACATCAGACTTCCTACCAAGCAGACCCCGATATTCATGGGAGTGGCACAGCTGTCACCAGTGAGTGAAGTGTCCAGTATGGTACCTTCTACTTATCTTTTTCATTTGTTAATTGTAAAGTGATATGTTTTGTTTCTGTCTAGGGGAAATATAGCTATAGGATTTTGTTCTCCCCTCCCATTTTATGGTAATAGCTCATTATATAGCTACGCATGTGAGGATGAAGAATTGAAATGATCAAATGAAAATAAATAGTTCATACTCACTTACAAATGTGAAAATCTGGAAGCCTGTGCAATTTCAAATCAGTTTAGAATATTTGGTCACATATCCAATTATAACATTCAATTCTGCATAAGTCTGTTGTCCATTTATATTAAATAGAACCAACCAGTGAACTTAAAAAAAGTTATAATTATAGTTCATGCACCAAAATGTATTTTTTACTTTCACATTCACTAAAAAAAAAGAATATTCAAATATTGAATGTGTCATTTGGTTCTCTAGGGGCCCCATTATTTCATGAGTCAAGGAACATTTTCCTCAATATTGAAAAGAGGAATGGGAACGGTCCTTAACAAGCACTTGTACCAATATAAAGCCTTAGGGTGATCTCACTATCATCTTCATCTGAAAAGAATTGGAGTTTTACATAAAAAGTGATGCCACAATAGATGCCATTTAGCTCTGATATACAGTGCGCCACTATCACCTTTGCAAGACAAACATTGATAGACATGTGGCAAGACAAACATTGGAGAATATTTGTAACATTTTGGGACCTAATAAAACTGCATATGTGCACTTGTCCTTTCCAAGAGACTTGGTGTATATGAGTTTGCAATCTTGTCCTAAATTTAGATATATTATATCAGGTTTGTGATACTTTAGGAAAGTATAATGTATTTTCTCAATTCATTTGAAATATGACTCTACAGTTGTGTGTAGATAATGATTAATTTTAATACAATGACAGAGATAATTTATTCATTGATAAAATGATGACTGAACACTGAATTCCATCTAAATATGTACCACAGAGGTTGCCATGGGCCTGATCCAAAGCCCTTTGAAGTTAGTGGAATTTCTCCATTGATTTCAAGGGGCTTGGGATCAAGCCTGCTGCAATAGGTCAAATTGTAAAATTGTTTATTCCTGATGGAACAATTACTGTAAATTCAAATGAAGTCTTTTAAACATAGACCCAGCAAGGCAGATGTTTTATTCATAGTATACAAGCCTTTGGTAAACCAAGAAAAACCCCCAACCCTTCTCGCTCTGAAAATGTGTTTTAGTTTTTAAAAATTTAATGTGAAATTGATAGCACTGCAAGCTGAAATCCTTCATCCACAGAACAGATAATCCTTGCCCTGGCAATAGGCTCTATACTGACCAGGGTGCGAGTGGAGTTCTTTCAATACTCATCCAATTCTTGGACTTTGAATATGCTGCCAACAAGAATGCCAATTGTGGGGATGGTTTCTATGGTGTTGATACTGGTCCATTAGTAAATGAACTATAACAACCAATTCATTTCTCAAATGACCTGCCATCAAATGGTACTGTTTAGTCACCATCATTCTCTGAGTCACCTTGTCATCCAAGTTTTTAGCTGGTGATACATTTTATATATATTATATATATATATAAATGTATGTTTATTTTTCATTAAAAGGTGTTTGAACTATAGTTTATTTAATCTTTTACATACACACAGCATACTGAAATCTTTCATAAGCAACAGTAGCAGAATGCTACTCAGACAAGCTGCTGATTTGTTGGTTCTTGCTAGTTTGCTTTCTTCAGCTATGTGAGAAAAGTAGAACCATAGAACAAATAGGTGCATCACAGCGAGTGTGTGACACCTAGGACACTCACTCTCTCACACACACACACACTCTCAGACTGGAATAGTGCACACTGCGAAACAACCAAAAATATGTTTTTGCAGAACACCTTAACATTATCGAACCAGCAAGACTTTGAATGTCAGTTTATACATTTGAATGTAAGTAGCCATTCCTTCAGATAATCCAATCTGTAATATTAGTACACAGAGGATGAATCTCTAAACAGAGTAGATTGTCCCCCAAACATGTGACATTTTATCATTATATTTGCAAACAATGGAAGTAGAAAAATAACCACAACCCTTCAGCCCCTTCCAGAAATAGCTAACTTGCCTAGAATTTACAATATGTGAAGGTAAGCATTCCTATCCAAACAAACTGTGCCTGAAGGCAAACATTATAAGATGAACCACTCAAGTATGAACAGTTTAAGTGCTTGCTAGTGTTATTGAAAAAGAGAAAACAGGAAATTTTGGGAAAACAAAGCCAATGAAGAGCCATTCTTTTAACAAATTAAAATGTGATTTGTTTTTATAAGGTTGTGTTTTTATACAATAAAAAAAAAATCTAACAGTGGTGCCACTGAGAAAAATATATTAACCCATTAGTTTTATGTAAGAAAAAATTTGGCAGGTTGCACTATAAGGTAGATTAGATAGGAAACATGATTATTTTTATTTAATAATGTTTTGGAAAAATCTGATCTGCCTCTACTAACTGACCTGTGGTCTAATGTCTGTTAGACATTACCACAGCATGGATGAATTCAGCCACTATGACTTGCTGGAAGCAGGCTCACATCGGAGAGTTGCTGAAGGGCACAAAGCAAGTTTTTGTCTTGAAGATACCTCCTGTGACTATGGATACTATAGACGATATGCATGTACAGCACATACACAGGTAAGAAGAGATGGTTCCAAAGAACCAAGAGATTTTCTTTCTTGCAGTTTGCCTTACTTGAGAGATTTTATGTAACATTACAGGCCCCAGTTCTCAGGTGCCTTAATTAGCTATGAGATAATCACCCCAGGGTAGGGGGAATCTGCTGGTGGCATAAAACTAGCATAGCAGCTTTTGTACTCTCCTTTCACTACAGCCCTGTAGAAGGTGTGGCTGCTGGGAGTGGATGGCTGAGGCTTTCTTGTACCCTGGCAGGTCTCCTGGGGCCATTGACAGCTGATGTACATTAAAACAGTCCTCAAGCTACTCTGATTTAGATTGCGGGACTGGCCATCACACAGCAGGCCCAGGATCAGGGGCAGTGAAGAAATCCTATAAGGTCTCGTTCCACTTCTCTTATCCCAATCCACATTCTGCTGTCCATGGCTGCAGTCAAGGATCAGAGCTAGTGTTCTTTCTTCTCAGAGCCTGATAGTGCAAGGTGCTGTGTTTCATCAGTTCCCAATGCTATCAAAGGGGGTTTGAGGGGATTCAGTACATCACAGCATCATGCTCTGTGCATGCATGTAACAGACCTTCAAATTAATGGGAACTGTGTGAACATCATGGGCAAACTATATCCCTTTTTCTGCAGAGGTATAATTTTATTCTTGAGAAATGCCAAATATTTTCCCATGTGGATGTGTCCATATTTAAATCTTAAGTATAATGAATTATCTACAATATGTAAAGTTTGTGTAGGGGTTTTAAAAATAGTCTCTCTCTGTGTAGGTTACAGCATTCACCTAACATATATATTTTACAGCTGGAGTACTTGTGTCACTAGAGTCAAGGTTGTGTCAGCATTTCCACTGTAAACCCATATTTTTAGGGGTTGTAATTGGACTGTAAAACTTTGTTCCAGCCTCAAACTTGGCACGTGTAAGTAGGGTATCAGCGGATTACCAGCTGGGGTCAGGAGGGAATTCCTGCATGGCTTTATCTTGCATAGTTAAGTGACTTATGAGGATTTTTCCACTAAAGCATCCTATACTGGCCACTGCTGAGAATACCAGACTTGATGGACCATTGATATGTTCCAGTGTGGCAATTCCTATATTCCTAGCAACAAAGTCGGAGGTTTTTTGGACACACAGATCTGGAAAAACCTCTGCTGCCATTTTGGATACCCTCTGAATTCTTGCAGCCATTTCTGATGTTTCAAAACCTGTATTTGCTTGAAGAGAAAAACCTTATTAGGCCATTTTCTGCAGAACTAAAGCTATAGACAAATAAAATACAAAGACAGCTCTTTAACTCCATGAGCTTCCTATGACGAGTACTTTACTCTTTGCACTGGATGCAGAATTCATCTATGGCCAAAGCCAACACTCTTCTTTGAGGTAGTCAAGATTCTAGTGGCAATTAAATTCACACAAATGAGTTTGGAACTGGAGATTAGGATTCACTGAGCATGCACCTCATGTCCTAACTCACGGGGAAAAGTTCTTTCTTGATTTTTCTTATATTCAAGTAAATTTAGAAGGAAAATGGTTTAAAATGGAGCTGCCCAGACAAGAAACAGGAGCAGTGTATCCCTCCCCAACTTATCCCACAAAAATGGTGATGAATATTTTTTGCTGAATTGGTCTCTAAGATTCTAAATCTTAAGCAGCAACTATAAGAACTTCCTCTTCAGATAGAAAGGATCCAAAATGGCATTTGCAAATAGTATGTCTAGGACTTTATTGGTGCTGTACTGTCTCATGCAGGACCCTCCTTACATCTGCCAAACTTTTCAAGTGGCCTCATATGTTTCTCCCCAATGGACCAGAATAACTCCTTTTGTTTAATTTAATCAGGTAAATAGGTAAGGAAAAATCTCAGGTGTTTATTTGAACTGTACCCACGCTTCTTGGGCCTGGAAATCCTGGATTAAAATATCGCAAGATTTCCAGTACTTCCTGCTTCCTGTCAGGCTGAAAATACTGTGAGACCAGCCTCCCTCATAATAATTCAGCAATGCTGGTCCCAAGCTGAATCAGAAAGTGGTACATGAAAAAAGACAATAGGAAAAATGATAGCCAAAACTTTCTGAACCTCAAAAGCCATTCAATTGAAATTCACAGAGTTTTAGGTGTAGATTTTGGTCAGTTCTTATCTTTTCTGAAATGATTCCTTCAACTCTTGCAAATAAGCGACACTTTAGGGAATACTGTCAGATAGTACTTAAATATAGCTATTTTAAATTTCAGGTATATGTAATCAGTAAATACCTATTATATTAAAAAAGTGTATAAATAAGACTAGTTCAAAGTTTTCCATTGAAACTGTGTTTTGCTGGAAAACTGGGTTCTCAACAAAATATTTTCTGGGAAATGTGTCTGCTTTCCACAGAAAATTTTGATTTTTAATCAAACTGATCACCTGAAAAATTTTTCAATTCTGAAATGGAACCATGCTGGCCCAGGGAATTGTAGTTTATCCCCTATAGTTTGTATAGGGATCCCAACCTATATCTCCCATCATGTCCTATGATGCACAGCCTCCCCTCAACAAGAGGGGAGACAGTGGTGCATCATGGGAGATAGAGATATAGTCCCTTGGGAAGCCCAGTCTAATAAGAATGGGAACATGAAATGCCTGAACTACAAATCCCATGAGCCTCTGCAACAGCATTTCAGAATTGAAATATTTCTGGTTTTGGCCAAAATATGTGTTTTTGATTTTCATCCAAAACTTTCCATGAAAAACAACCCCTATTTTCCAACCAGCTATAACAAATTCCTATTTATCCAAAAGAGCAGAACAGCTTGTAAGTGATGCTCCAGTCTCTCAGATAAGCATTGTAATTACTGGTACCTATTTATGAATAGTTTTATCTTTAATTTTCTTATGTGGTAGAAACAAAGAAAAGTTAATACAACTGCTCTGTCAGAGCTAGGCAGTACTATTTAAACAAATAAAACTCAGAAAGTTCAGATTCAATGCTTAACTCATTCATTTGTGCCCTTTTCCCCAATGATGTGCATGAAGGAAGCATCGTGGCGTTACCTGAATTTTTTGACTGGGGTTAGTTTGTGTCTGTGTTAATGTTGTTGTTTTCTGAAAATATATTCCTTAGACTCCTTTGCTTGTACATTTTTAGGGACTGAGCCCTGGTTGTTATGACACCTACAATGCTGACATAGATTGCCAATGGATTGATATTACAGATGTGAAGCCTGGAAACTACATACTGAAGGTATGGGGTGTGTTTTAAGAAATCATAACTATAAACCCATTTAAACCAGCACAGCAGGTTATCAATCCAAACCCAGTTGTAAATGGCATTTTCCTTCCTTCAAGGTTAGTGTAAACCCCAGCTATTTGGTACCAGAGTCTGATTACTCCAACAATGTAGTACGCTGTGATATCCGCTATACAGGCCATCATGCATATGCCTCTGGCTGCACAATTTCACCGTAAGTAGATTCCTCTTTCTCTGTAACTACTTTACACTCATAACATTAAGATTAGCAAATAGGTTTATGGTGTCAAGAGGTGAATTTTCCATTGAGTAGATAATTGCCAAATGAGTTCTAGCGATGCAAACTTTGTAAGTGGATGATTTAATAATTAGTGTGGAGTGTGCTAGTTTTCGGTTACAGATGGAACTTAGGTTCTTTTTTGTGGGAGGAATGGGAATGATTATTTTGCCATTTACAACTGCATATCTTTCAAATTATAGCTACTTGTAATTAAGCTATTTTCTTCAATCTTCCATCAGATCCATAGAACCATTTAAGATGGAAGGCACCTACAATAGTTTATCAAAATCCATTCCTCTCCTAGCATAGAACACCTACTAAAATTCTTGTTAGAAAAGTTTGTTTCTGCACTCTTGATTTCAGGATTTATAGGGACTTTAAAATTGCTGCTCCTACCTGGATTCCCAGCTGTTCTCCCTGGCTCAACTCCCTTCTTGAATTTGCAGCCACAAGGCTCCTGATGCTTATCCAATTCCCATACAGAGCATTCACACAAAGCTGTTGAACAGATTGCTGAGGGCCCCTTGAAACACTTTGTTCAAAACAAAGCAAAAAACCACATACAGTTATGTATTACTTTCTCACTGCTACAGCAAGCCCTCCCTCCCCTCCCCCGGAACAGTTCTTCCAGCAACACCTCATTTACTGTTTCATGTTAGCTCTCTTGGTGTTCAAGCAATGACCCTTAACTATGTCTGGCCACAAATTGTTTTGTAAAAAGCAAATGTACATTGAACAAAATCAGTGTTTCCTTTGTACTTTAGCTTAACATACCCTCTGAACATTACACAGAAAAATAAGTACTATGTTATAACCACATATAGAGTGAGCTTTCCAGTTATTTTTATACATGATTACAGAATCACATTATTCATGTGTGACATTTAGTGGTTGATTTAATCTGACTGGAAATAACAAATGAGAGCATTAATCTTATGTAGAAACCTTGGTGACATTATTAGTTTTCATTTATTGCTTTGGAATTTAAATAAGTGACCAGTGTGGATTGACAGACCTACATTAATGGGTCTTCACACTGATCTCATTTGGATGTTGCTTAATTACTATATCATGGAACGCGTCACTCACTGCTGGACTGGCACCTCCTCCTGGTCGTTCTGGGGATTAGCTCGAGGCCAACACCCATGTCTGCGTCACTCCTTCTCCACAGTCCACCTGCAACCCCTCTCGCGTCAGGAACTGCAGAATCCTCTTAGTGGCTGGGCCCTCCAGCCACGTCACTATCCGTGTTCCCCCCTTCTGGGTGAGATTTAGTTCCTTAGTAGTCCAGCCACTTCCCCAGTGGCGACTGTAGTCAACTGTCCTGCCACTTCCCCAGTGGTGGGGATCCAGGCCCGCCCACTGCTCTGGGTCCAGCCCAGGAACCCTCTGAACCGCAGTTACTGCATTCCTTTGCTTCTACTATCACTGCATTTCCCTGGGCCACTTCCCTGCAGCCACAGCACCCTCCTCAGTCTCAGCAGCCAATCTGGAGCTCCTTCTGTCTTCCTGCCTGCATCACTCTGTCCAAGATGCTACAGGTTTGCAGCCTACTCAGGACACAGTCCTCCCTCCTTAAACAACAGGCAGCTACTGACCCTGCTCTGCTGTAAGGCTCTTTTTAACCCCTTGCCGGCCAGTGTGGGGCAGATGCTCCATCACATGCCACTTGTAAGGTTTATCTCACTTTGAATGTACTACAAAGTCCTTCGTACTGGGAAATCAAACACTTATCAAGCAGGGCTAAAATGGCAAACACTTGTGTCACCCCTATGTGAAGACCTAGGTTCATATCACACCAGTCACAACAAAGAATAAGACAGGTCCATCAGTGGCCATTAGACAAGATGGGCAGGGACTCAGCCCCATGCTCTGGGTGTCCTTAAATCTCTGACTGCCAGAAGCTGGGACTGGATGACCGGGAACTGATCCTTCAATAATTGCCCTGTTCTGTTCATTCCCTCTGAACCACCTGGCACTGACCCAGAACTGGGTCGCAGAATGGAAGGCACTGGGTCGCAGCGGCTCTGGTCAGCACCACTGACCAGGCCGTTAAAGGTCTCATCAGCAGTGCTGCCCGGCTAAGGCAGGCTAGTCCATACCCTGGAAGCAGCTAGCAGCAGGTCTGGCTCCTAGGCAGGGGGCCATGGGGCTCTGCACGCTGCCTCCGCCCTGAGCACCGGCTCCGCCTGGCCAGTGGGAGCTGCGGGGGGCGGTGCCTGCGGGTGAGAGCTGCGCAGAGCCACTTGTGTGGCTCTGCTGAGGAGCCAGACCTGCTGCTGGCTGCTTCCGGGGCCCAGTGTGACGTATCCCCACTGCGCCACTGACCGGGAGCCGCCAGAGGTAAGCCCATGCCCCAATCCTCTGTCCCATTCCTGAGCCCCCTCCAAACCCGGAACCCTTTCCTGCACCCCAAACCCGTCATCCCTGGCCCCACCCCAGAGCCTGCATCCCCAGCCCAGAGCCCTGACCCCCTTGTGCACCCAACCCCCTGCCCCAGCTGAGCCCCCTTCCACACCCTGAACCCCTCATTCCCAGCCCCAACCTGCAGCCCTCACCCTGTGCCCAGGGCTGAGCCCCTCCCTCACCCGAAACCCCTCATCCCCACCTCCACTGGGTCATGGGCATCAATAATTTTCTTCAGTTGGGTCACCAGAAAATAAGTTTGAAAAGCACTGGACTAGATGGACCATTGGTCTCACCCAGTATGGCCATTTTTAAGTTCTTAAAAGCAACAAGTTTAATGGCCTTGGCCTAGTCCTTTATTTGTTCTCACCACCAGAGTGTCCATGCTTGTGGGAGAATGAGAAACCGAACAACTGGTGTGCTGCAGGTTATGAGTGGTCATTTTTGGCAGAGCAGTGTGAAGAAACTTTCATGGCATCTCCCTGCACTCGAACTAGCTCTAATCAAAGCCTCCACTAACCGAGCTTCTCTTCACTTGAATTCAAGAAGGGGAGGAGAGAGAAAAGGTTAACTGAAGGGTGTCAGTTAGGGTTATGCATCGTTACTTTGCTTTGTAACCTCCCCTCTCTCAGCTTCCTAAATTAACAAAATACTGTAATGATATTCAAACATACAAAGGAAAGCAAGTTCTCTAGTTCCTTTTGTGCTGCATGTTAATACTGATGTATAGATATTTAACACAGGTGGGTTAACTTTGTTTAGTACTTGTTTGCTAATGTATGGTATTTAACAAATTTTTCCTTTTTTTTAAAAAAATAGATACTAAGATGCAAGAAAATGGACGAGTCAGTGCCCACTGTTTTGTACTGTAATATCATTATATAAACTTCAGTAGGATACGAACACTTTACAAAAAGCAAAAAAATTCAACACAAACTTTTGTGTGGTTTTGAAGCATAATGGCTGCTTCATAAAATGTGTAACTGGATTTTTAGCATTCAAATTGTCACTTAAAAAACTATTGCAACGTGTGGGGTTGGTGATTTATGCACAGATTTTCAAATTCTAAAGGAAATTAACTCATTCACAGAAAAATAAGGTTTTTTTGTGTTTTGTTTTAAACTCCACTGGAAATCAGAGTGCAGATAACAGCAGAGTTTGGTCAGTACACTATCTGTGAATGAGCTGTAATCTCTTTAAAAGGTAGCAAAAAGTATAGTACTAAATAAAATGCAGTAAGTAGTAGTAATCCTGGCTAGCTCAATGAATGCCGGAACAAAGACCTTCTTGGGAGTGATGCTCCTGCCATTACAGTAAAAATAATTGGTTACATTGGATGCAGAGGAGAAAAGTATCCTCAGTTTTCAAGGAATATTAACATATAGCAGAAAAACGTTCATGTATGCATTAGTTACATCCCATATACGAAATTTATGTTTATTTTACATTTTTAATATATTAGTAGGTAAACCATTTTCTCAAGCTGAATGCATACTGGGGCATTGGCCATAAGTCTGTTTTACTTTTGGAGTAGAATTAAAGAATTTAGCCACTTTTCTCTGTGAATAGAGATTTTCAAAATGGGGGTCTTAAAAGGATTAATTCAATGCGAGTAAAATGAACTAAGATGAACAGCTGTCCACCAGAAACAAGGCTTCTGAAAGCCACATTGGATAGTCCCTAATAATTAGTTGTACGAAAAAAAGGCATGAATTGAACAGGCTAACCAATTACAACAACTGACAAAAGGCAATCAGCTCAGAGGCACCACAAACAGAAATAAGCCAAAAGACCTATCAGGGTGTTCTTATTGAGAAAAGGCCTTTTACTTGTATTCTCATTAGCATTATTTTACAGTTAGTACTGTACTTGATTCTTAATTGCATATTTGGCTATTCAAAGACTGAAGCTTAAAATATTATACAATATGTATAGAATAATTGTTGGTGTATGCAACAACACAGGAAGTACTTTCGTTAAGTCAATCATGAAATAGTCAAAGTGAAAAACTTTCAGCCCAAATTAACAAAATATATTATGCTGCTTACTGGTGGGGGTTCACAAAAGTATGCAGTTGACCAATTTAAGCTAAAGCAGCTGTGATTTTTGTTTTTTAAACTGTGAAATTATTTCTCACATTGTCCTGATACTTCTTCCGAAGATCACAGATGGTGCAATGCTCAACCTGCAGCCCACAACATCTAAAGCAACAGCCAAAGCTCAAAACCTTTAGAGTTTTAATGGTATATATCTTTATGTATTTGTGTAGCTTGAGGAATACTGGGGTGTTTTGTTACAAGGTTGGGAAATATTTTAAGCAATATTTGCCATTATTGCATGCAGTAGAACCATGCACATTTAATTTTGAAATTGTGTTAGTTATCAGAATATCCTTGAGGACTATGGATCAGCTAGTTATTTCCTACATATATTTTGTTGTTTTAAGATTATCAAATGTTTCTGTCCAAATCAGTCATGTTCTGGCACAATAAACCTAAACAACTGTAACATCAACACTTAACCAGACTGACACTGATGACCTAAGAACCATTAACTCATTGAGGGAATGGCCCTTTACTCACTCACCTTTCACTTCTACATGCAGGCTGGGTCCAGTTTACATCTGCAGGCTGCTAAGTTTTCCATTGGTTTTCCTCATTTGGTTGGTAAAGATCATTTTAGTCACTCACCAAGTGGGTATCTAACTCAAGCAATAAAAAGTCTGAAAACTAGACTTGGCACATTTTACTGTAGTAGGGCTCTATGCACATCAGCAGTTAAAGTTGTGCCATTATCTCTCTTTAAAAAGCACTATTTTCATGTGTTTATAATTGACTGTACCAGTATGTTCCAGACTGAAGTTTGGCTTTTGAGGTCTGAGCTCCAGAACAATTTTTGTAAATGGATTAAAAACAAAACAAACAAACAAAAACGCACACACACACACAAGCGTATGAATGAACAAATGCAGGTACATTTATACCTCCTGCCAAAAGTGATTCAGGCCAAAATTTCCAACCTGGGATGAAGGCTCTGAAGCTGCAGCTTCTTGTGTGTGGGCAACTTGTACACGTGCAGTTGCATGGAAGTCAGTGGATACATCTACACTGCAAACATGTACCCACTGCAGCAAGTCTCAGAGCTCAGACCTAGGCTGGTGCTACAGAGCTAAAAATAGCAGTGTAGATGTTCCTGTTTGGACTGGAGCTTGGGGTTTGAAACCTGGTGAGGGGAGTGAGTCTCAGAGCCCAAGCTGGCATGTTTTAACACCATAGCACAAGTCCTGCAAGCCTGGTTCTCTAGAGCTAGATTCTGAGAACTGTTGGGGCCCAGGACATTTTAGGCTCAGCAATTACCGAGGCGCTGTGCAGCCAGGAGGCACTGAGGTGTGGTGTTTTAAGAGAGTAGTTCTGGGGGTATTTACTCTGTAGATGCCCTCAGATCTGTGGGATTTTCCTGTAGCTGTGGGCGCATCTGCAGGGTTGGAGAGCCACACCCTCTACTTACCTCCCCACTGGAGGATACCTCAAAAATTGTGGAAGTTTAAAAAGGAAGTTTGCTGAGTATCTTTGGCTCTTCTGTAGGAAGATGCATTCTGGCCTTTAGTGCAGATGCTTGGGCTGCCAAATGATCCCCTGATTTAAGAATCTTTAAGTACTCATTGACATGATAGGTTGGTAGGGCGCCATCGACACCATCATTGGTAAATGAACACATTTTACATGTAGATCTGATAGACAATGGAATTTCTTTTCTTTAGCTAAATGCTGTACAAGTTTTAAAACATTTGTTTTAAACAATGGGAAAAGAAATGAAATTTGCACACTGTTCAAGAGTACACGAATGGTCTTGCTTAAATCAACAAAAGCTAAGAATGTCAGAATTAAAGTTGGAAAAATTAACACAACCTGTTCTTAACTAATCCTGCTGAGCTGTAATGCAGGAGTAGAGAAAAGTTGATTTACAAAGCTTATGAGCGAATGTTACTAAATGCGGGGAGTTGCTGGCCATAATTCTCAATATCTTGGTCACTGCAGGTTTGATCCAGATACCTTAAGCCTACTTTTTTCATGCTGCAATATATTTAAAGGGAATGCTTGCTTTTTTGTAGGAAATCTTTATACATTGTTTTGATGTAAGAGTTTATTTTATAAAACAAATTTTATTGTGTAATCATTGTTAACAGGCTTTGGGCCTATTCCTGTGGTCTTTGAAAAGGAGCTTTGCCCTTGATCTCAAAGAGCGTAAGATCAGTCCAAGCATTTGCAAAATTTCAGAAGTACAGAAATGCTTCTCTTACAGTTTCAAATTTCCTTTGAAAATGTTAGAGCGTGCATGAAGCAATTACCTCCCACATTTCAGGTCTTTAGAGAAATGTTGCATATAAGGAATATTCCCATGCAACAGACTCATTACAAGACAGCTTTGCTATATTTGTAAAATCTTGAAATACATGTTTGATAATAGGTGCATATTTCTGGACAAAAGTATTAAAAGAATGAGAGATTGGTCAGCGGTTGAACCAACAGATCATGTAGATGATATTTTTTATGTTGCACACCCAAGTTTACTATGTAGTATTGAATGGTGCGTTCACCAAAGTTTACCTTCATAGTCCTTTTATATATCTGTTTTTTCAGTTGTACCTGTTCATACCAAAAGGGTTATTTTCATTCATAAAATTGAAAGCAGTCTGTCCTGTGCCTCACATTATGCCAAATATGTAGGGTCTTTTTACATTCCCCAGATTAAAAAAGGTGCTGAAATAACTTGAATTAAAACCAAGAAGTGTATGCTAATAGGAGGTTATTTTTTGTTGTTGTTTTAGCAACTAAATGCTACAAATTCAGTGAAATGCCACTTGTTTTTGCAATTTCTTGAAGGAGTTTTCAATGTTTCCTTCACTGTTTTCCAAGAATCTTAATTTTAAAACCTCTATCTTTATTTGAAGAGCTTTTATTTATAATATTCAGACACTAGCTTTGTATTCTTCATTGCACTTTCATATTCTTGTGTTACATTGCCTGTATTATGGTTGCAAGTTTATGTGAAAATGACTTGAATAAAATGTTTCAAGTGTTCACACGGTCTATTCTGCTGCACCTAGGTTCAACATGGGCCTGATCCCTTTGTCACTGAGGTCAACTGGAGTCTCTTCATTGTCTCCAGTGGTGCTTGGCTGCGGCTACATATGCGTCAAAATGGGAATGATTAAAGTTTGGCAAAGTTATAAGCACCTTATAAGTCTTATAATGGGAAGCGTCAGGCAACCAGCAGCAATATCAGCTCTGCTTAGAATACACAAGAATCCAGCACAAATACAGAACATCTTTATAAATCTTAGGACTGGGTTCCAAATTCACTTTTGGGTGTAGACCTTTAAAACTCAAGAATACTCTGGGACCCAATTGTCTGAGATGGTTCTTTATCTCATCATGGCAATTAAGCCAGCTGGGATTAGTGAAATGTATGAATGTTTTAATAAGGTGATCCTATGAAGTGCTTGGGCCTGTGCTAACTTTTGTTTCTCAGGGGTGCCTGTGCCCGCAAAAGAGGAGGGGTGAGGGCCTGGGGATTTAGTCTTTTACCCACAAATGCTTTCTTCTAGCTACAAAAAAGGAAGCAGTCAATACTTGTTTGGCAAGTGAGGTTACATGGCAAATTCCTGAAAAAATGTACAGAGTATAGTGATACCATACCACATTTAACTTATGTAATTAGGAGCAGGAAGTAAAGGTCTTCTAGTATGTCCACACAGCATTTTGGAGCAAGCCTCGGGCCTCTGAGGCTGAGCTCCAGCCCAAGCTGCAACGTCCAAGTACTGTCTCTACAGCTGTTTTTAGACCGCTAGCGTGAGCCCTGCTATCTTGCACTCACGCCAGAGTGCTGTGTAGTCACACCTTTAGTGTTTCCTGGGATCTTCCCCTCTGTAAATATTTTGAAAATGCCCATCATTCACTGTAAACTAATAAAAAGAAAATTGCTCTTCAAGAAGTATTTCCTAAGCCTAGGCTTAGTTCATCTGTGACAGAGATGGTTTCACAGCATTAAGAGAGGGTGTGAACGCAATAAGAAGCAGGGAAATCACTCCAACGTTCCCTTCATTTTGGCCGAAATTTTAAGAAGGGGGTCCTGCAACATTCTCCTTGTAACAAATCCTGTTGGGAAGTGCTTGCTGCCAGGACCCAAGTCTAAACACTCAGCGTTCAGAGGCAAAAGCATAAACAAAATGAGGGCCCCATTTGGAATTTGCTCTCCCTGGACGCCAGTCAAACCCAAAGTGACCTTCAGGCCATGATGAAAGATATTTCATTTAGGATTTGAAAACTTTTTTTGTGCTCTACTCTCTGTCTTTGAAGCCTTAGCCACCACATTATTTCTATAGTAATTGTCAGTCTGTCTTTTTAGAGTGTCAAGGAAAATAGAAGTGAATAAAAGACACTATTTAGATACAACGATGTTCTGTTACTTGGAGCAGATACACTATATTATTGGTGTGTGGTTCCACAAAGCGTATGTTATTTTGTCATTTGACTTGGGTAAAATTCTGATGTGAAGTAGAAACAAAATAAAAAGCAGAAACCAGAATTAAATTACCACATTGAAACTACACATGAAAGTATGTCCATTACACTAGTACCTAATAATACAGGAATGGTGGGATGATCTATCCTACAGCTAGATCAACATTCACACTGCACTAAGGACACACTGTTAGCAATCATCTAACCAGAGCACCAGAGGAAACAGAGCATGAGCCTAGAAACCAGTTTGAAGAATTCATTCCAAACAACAGATACCATAAGGAAATGAGTGGGCTTAGACCCTCTAACACGCCTGGCTCCATGTAAGCCAGAGAGATGTAATGGCACATCGCTAGCCATCCTGCAGTTCCTTCAGAATTTCAATTTTCATGGAAATACATTTTTAAGCTGTATGGTTTACCTTCCAAATATGAACTAACGTTGTGCTGTATTCCCAGTTCTGTACACTGCCTGAATCAACAGACTAAGGCTATGTCTCCACTGCACCTCTTATGGCGGTGTATTGGGTGTGTAGCTACAAGCCACAGTGAAAAGCAGGCTGGTACAAGCTGCAGCATGTAGCTCCATGTGTCAGTGAAATGTTCTGGCAAGGGGGAGGCAGCAGGGAAAGGCTTGGCAGCAGAGAGCTCCCAGAGCCTTTCCTCACTGCCTCCCGCACCAGAGCCTTTCCCTGTTGCTGCAGCCTTTCACTGTCGCAGGGAATGGCTCTGGCAGCTCCCTGCGGGTGGAGCCTTTTACTGGCAGGGAGCTGCTGGAGCCTTGCCTTGCCCCAAGGAAAGGCTCCTACAGCAGGGAGTTGCTGGCCAGTAGCGGAGAGCTGCCAGAACCTTTCCCCACTATGAGGAAAGATTCTGGCATATCCCTGCTGTAGGAGTCTTTCCCTGTGGTGGGGAGTGGCTCCATCAGCAGGACCCTATATTGATAAAAATAGTATTGTTGACAGGCACTGCTTGAGTGAATAGAGAGGCCCATACCCACATGGTTCAGGCATACCTTTACTCATGATCTACTGTTATTTATACCCATGTTAGGGGTGTGTGTAGTGTAAGTACTTTGCACACCGCTGAAAGGTACCCTGAGGTGTGTAGTGCCTCCCATTCATCTGAGAAGTTAATGCAGAAGTATGAAGGTGAACACAATTAAATGTCCACTTCGTTAACTATTTCACTCAATCTCTTTAGCAGAAATATCCAGCTAATGTGTTTCTCTGTCATGCTGGATATCACATAAGCTGAGACAGTCAAAATGACCTAATGGGTCTTTTCAAGCCCATAAAGCCACTGCAGGTTCTTTCCCTACAGCAGTATTTCTTCAATCCAGCTTTAAAATGATCTCAGTGATGGGGCTTTTTCCACTTCGGGTGATAAAGACAATACTCTCTCATATATTTCAGTTAGAAATTGCAAACCAATTTAATACCAGCGTAAGCATGGCCTCCTGCTGACTGCATGCCTCGAGCCCAAAACACAATACTGTGTGTCTGTGTCTAATACTCAGTGTGATTACAGGTAAGATAAGACTAGGAAGTATACTCAGAATTATTAATTAGAAAAGGCACACCTCCTGGTTCCATATTTGCATCAAAACACAGTGCACATGCCCACAAAGTAAGTGTACATTTTGCTAAAGTGATTTGTATCTCTTTCTGTGTTATTCTGTGGTAAACCTGCCCACACTGGACCTCATCTTCAGTTTTGGTGATTTGCCTGACATCAAAGAGTAAGTCAATGACAGATCTACAGATAGAACCTATAGGTCTGATCCAAAGCCCATTTAAGTCACTGGAAAGACTCCCAACGACTGCAAAGGACTTTGGAACAGGCCCTAACTCTCCTGATACTATATCTAATTCAATAATTAAATTGTATATACAACATAATTTACTACATCTGTCTCAGTTTTCAAATCTTTCAAATGGGGATAGCAATATCAGCATTTCCATAATGTTTTAAAGTAACTTTAAGTTTCTTGATTTTCCATCAGTTTTTTTTTTAAAGTATGTGGTCTATTAAGATATTTTCACTTCTAGCTATTGATACATATTTGCAACCTGAATTGCAGTTGAGCAATTGTCTGTTAATATGTATTGATACAGCGTCTCTCTTCTGTGCACAGTACTAAACATTGATTTTATTTTGAACTGTGCAGCTTGCTGCAGCTTGATAGGAGTTGCCAGTCATCTAATGTTCACACCCAAAGAAATGCCTTTTCAGTATACCAATCATTATTAAAACCAGAAAAATATGTAGGCCCTTAGACATTTTTGGGTCGGGTTGGCCATAGGTTTACCACAGAACAACACAGAAAGAGATACAAATCACTTTAGCAAAATGTACACTTACTTTGTATGTTATTTTCTGAACAGAAACTCCTGTGAACACAGTACTGAACTTCAGATGAATTCACTAGGCTCCTCAATTCAAAAGAGTTGTTCTCTTGCACAAATACAATAAAATACAGCTCTCTATAATGCAGTGCCTAGAACATTGGGGCCCCAGCCTGGGTATGGCCTTTAAGCACAACCTAAGTAGCAATAACCCATAAGACACATGGAAGGTAGTAAAAATCTGTCACACTCAGATTGCCCTTCCTCTCCACCCCCCAAAGTTACAGTAACTGAGCATCAGAATGTGGAATAATGGTTGGATTTCTCTGATCAAGGCCTTCCAGTCAAGCTCGTGAAGAATTAAAAGGTCATTTTGCAAAAAAGGAGGCTCTGATGTTTCAGATACCCCCAGGAGTACACTTAAGGTTACAAATTATAGCTATAACAAAGTCTCTTCCTGCATTCTTAACTGCCAAGAAAAACTAAATGGTCCTGGCACTCTAAGGACATGTAAACTGACGCTTCAGGATATAAACTTTTAAAAACTAGCTATATATTGTACATGATCTACATTTTTCTTAGGTTTTTAAGTTTACAAGTTTGTTTGTTTTTTAAATTTGACAATGCAGATCAGTCACTTCTAAAAATTGGAAACTTTTACCTACCTAGAAAATATTAGCTGCCTGTGAAGAAATTTTTTTATAACAGGATTACAGCTAACAAAAGGAGAGAAAAAAGTTTCCTGCCCTTTATTGAAGCCAGGAAAATTGCACATCAAATATTTGTTTGGACTAGTACTAAGCCTTCAAAAAAGTTTCTTGTCTAGAATATATAAAACAGTATTCTAGATATTGCTTTCAAGAGGATGACCTTCTCTTCAAAACATGATTTTCCCTGAAGAAAAACATATGTTCAAAATATAATGAACGTAGTTCCTATGTATAGCCACTGGCTGCTGACTTAGTACAAGATTACTTTGAGTCTATTGCTACTATCTGGTATAAAAACCCCACTCTCCCGCCCCCCCCCCCCCCCGCCACACACATCTACCCACCAAACCACCCCTCTTTCATACAATGAGGAATTAAAAAAAACTAAAATATCCTGGGGCACAAACTTAATTGAAATCCACATTCCTCCAAGGCTGCAACGTAATGCAGGAAGGGAGAGAACATCACTTTCGATATAAAAACCTTCCTGCTGTACGGATAGCAATGCATAGCATAGAATATCCATATTATTAATTGTGTATATGTTTTATGGAATTGATTCAGACCAATTGTATAAAGGACAGTAGCACCTAATTAAACCACGAGGAAGAGGCAGTTACAATTAAGTTCATAGATCTTTTAAAATTAACTAATATGAAAGACCTTTTAAGAAAAAAATATGGCTAAAAACCATCTCCCCTCACCCCGATCCCAGGAACTCCTAAACACTAAACTGATAGCTCCATCCAGCACAGTCAAATGCCCTTCCAACAGTTAGGATATCAAAAAAACAAGATCTTTGGAGGAAAAAAATCAATAGCATTTGATCAGATGGTACTTTTATATGCAATTTAAATTAAGTGGGGCACACTGAATTTTCCTTTCAGTACAGGAATGCTCATGACTGTGCACTTTAGTTATCAAAATTGTTGATCTAATCAAGAAAGATGATTATTTTTTAGATGGCAAGTTTTTATTGCTACCTAGAGTTTACCTTAAGCACTACTGATCTCCATTTCTGCTTGCTTCATGCATTTATGGAATTTAGCAAATGTCTTCAGAGCTAACAGTGCTCTTAACATCTTCCAGCTAAGACAAGAGTAAATATTTTGATATTTTAAACATATGCTTTAATGAACTATTTTAACAATGTTTTCTTAGATAGGAGCACTTACCCTTCCCATCTCTTCTGATATGGAAGTCCTTAAATAATTCTCTTGAGCGTACCTTACATAACGCAAAACGCCACAGAGGAAATAGAAGCAAGTCAAAACTCCCAACTACTACAGAGCACAAAATATCTCCATAAACCCCTTCTTGACTTCATTGTGGGTTTCACAGCTGGTGGCACTATAGAACTGAACTCTGAATCTGATACTATGTGACATCCCCATTAGTCAACTAATATAGCACAAACTGAGCAAATGAAACAATCTTCATTATAAACAAATCTGGAATAGCTTTTCCCTTGCTAAAAAACCTTTAAAAGACTACGTCACCGATTTCACAAGATTAGGATACTATTTAGTTTATACATGTAAATATGATTTGAAAAAGGCACTAGTTCTCAAATACTGTAAAAGGTTTACTTTCCAAACAACTTTGCACATATTATCTCAATCAAGAAGATAAATATTCTCTTTTCAATCTATAACACCAGGGTCACAAAGGTCCAGCCAAAACACAAGTTGTTACATCTCAAAAGTAGACACCGAACTCGAGGGGAACTCGAAGAATCTTCTTTAAAAATATGAATTTATATTAAAAAAGTTTAATCATCATCAAATTTAATTTTTTTCCCCTGGAATGCTGTAATTTGAGATATTTGTTCCCGACGCTTCTTGCTTGCTTCCCACGAAGGATGAAGTGGTTGCTCTAAATGCTCTTTTTTATTTTCATACTGTCTACCAGCAGCTTTAGCAAGTTGTTTTCCCTTTACCCGCAGTTCATTTTTTGGAAAAGCTGTGCATAAAATACAATAAAAAAAGCATTAAATGCAACTATGTTATGAACATACACAAAACCAGGTAATACATACTGTAAAAACCGGAAGATAAGGGTAGGTATTTACTGGAAGCCAATATAACTAAGCCAATATAGAATAAGTGAGACATACCATATAATCTCCAATATCCATTCCTAATGAGACACGCATAATATACACATATGAACACATGACTATACTTTATACTTTTTTTAAAAAATACCCAGGAAGATTATCCCTCTTCTCACAAATCAGCAAACTGACAGGTCATGAACAGCAGATATGGTCAAGATGGCAGAAGGCACTGGGGTTTCAATGCAAAATTTGGGTGGAATTTTAATTACCATGCATAAGAGTCATCACAATCTGAGTTTATTGTACAGTACACCAATGAGGGATGAGTCACTGGACATCTGATTTTAGAGTAGCACTTTCAATATTCGGTACATAATTTCTTTGATGCAGCAAAAAAATTCTAATCCTTGAAAGTGCAGAATGAGCCATAATCTGGGTAAAATATTCAAGTGGCTAAAATAATTTGCTGGGATGAACCACTTGATGAGATTAAGGGTTGTATTCCGCCACCTTTACTCACACTCAGGTTGTACCTTTTTCCATGAGTAGCTTCATGGAGTAAGATATTACTTTACGTGGGGAAAGGTGGCTGAGTACAGACCTGTAGGATGCTTGCTTTTGGTAACTATTTCAAACCATGGAAATGTATAGCATCAAACAGTTACTACAAGTTAAACGGCAAGTGCAATCCCTTGATGACTCAAACAAAAATATGTGAATAAATGTCACTAAGGGCTTGTCTCCATGAACATTTAGTTCGTGGCAAGACGGGGTGTGAATCTACGCTGCACTGGCCTGCTGCAGACTAACTGTCCATGTAGATCATGCTGATGCACATTTACATTCTTTGATCTAGTCCTCTCTGAAATGGAAGTAAATGAAAGCACATTAACATAGTTAATGCATGTCAAGAGGGTCCACACAGACAGTTTATGACAGGTTAGTAGGGGGTAGATTCTCACCCCAGCTTGCCGCAAACTAATTGTTTTCATGGAGACAAGTCCTAAACTGAAATATGAAACAAAACAGAATACCTCATTGTGATTAGCCCTACAGGCATAAGTACAGATTGACAGGTTTTACTTTTGGCATTTTAAGGAATTCAAATGGAGCAGCAGTACCATGGACACATACCTGTTCTTCTATTTTTGGAAGTCTGATAGTTAACATTTCTAAAAAACAAGAAAATAGTATTAAAGATCTTTCAAGAAAGGAATAATAATAAAATATTTGTTTGAAAAAATGGCCAGCTCCACCATACTTGCTGGATAATCTACATGGCACTAGGGTATGATAGCAATAAACAGCTTTTGCAATTGGTTAACATTAAAGTGAAACTGACATGTAAACCAATGCAAGAACTATATATAATTTATATTTTTGAATATAAAACTGATTTTGGTTGTTGGCTCATCTTGAGCTTTAGAGTTCAACTTTTATGATGGTCAGGAGCAGTTACATTGCTGTGAGCATCTTTTTAGGACTTTCTGTTGATACTGACACATGAATAACTTTCCTGAGCAGGGAAAAATTTGAAAAATGCATAATGGTCAAGGAAGAATAATGTGACTGGCTACAAAATGCCAATCCAAATACTCTGAGCAGTGATTGGCTGAAATTCTGCTCATTCGATGGAAATATTACAAGTCATAATAATTACTCTATAATTTCTATAACTGAAATGGAAAAAAGTACCTCTTCATATTTTTGGATTTCTGATCAGATCTGGACAGAGAGTTGCAAAATACTGATTCCAACTTCATTGCTTTTGCATTTGGTTTACATTCTTCTGTGATCACATCCTGCATCATCATGAACTTTGAGTCCTTTGTTTTGTTTAGTAATGCTTCTTTGAGTCTTTTCTTTTCCTTTGCTGAAGAAAGGTCACTATCTGCCACTTTCTTCTTCTTTTTCTTTACTTTGCCAATGAAGAAATCGTCATCACTATCAGTATCTTCAGAATCGGATGACTGGTTATAAAACCTCTCTTCCGTGCTGTCATCAAAATACTCCTTGTTATCAAATTTTTCCATATCACTGACATCACTGTTTGATTTGTTTGTTATCCTGAACTTGTTCGCACTTGTAAGTTTTTTTCTTTTTGGCAAGTCAATTGTTATTTCGGTTTGATCCTGAACTACTGCATGTTTTTCTGAAGTTTGTAATGACAAATCACCTGGAGAATCTGTTCTTTCAATTTCTAAAGTTTTCTGCTCACATTCTCTCTCGCAGATTTGTTTATTTTCTATGTTAGTGGCTGTTTTCACATTCACCTTTGTTTTAGCGTCTTGCTGTTTTAGAACCAGTGTATGTGTCTGGTTATCTACATTGCTATTAGACTGTTGCCTCAATTTAGGCTTTTGAGAAAGCTGTTCTTCTGATTTATGGTCATCTGAAGATTGAGTTTTAGGTGGCTTCCGTCTTGCATCCTTAAAGGCTTTTACAGCAGCTACAAAAATAATAGCAAATAGAGTTATTGCAGCATCACGACAGTACACACATTAGTTAAAATAATGCTCAAGGGGCTCTGACACTATGTTTGCAAGTTAGATCCACTATGCTGAGCAAGTATGAGATATTTTTGGTGCCTTCACTAGATCATTTAGAAAGTAAAAGTAGGGGCTGAAAATGGCTTGAAGTAATGTCAAAGAGGAAAAGCGGGGAAATCAGAACTGAGTGAGGGCTCCAACTGCATGCAGCGAACTTCTCAGCATCAGATGATTTTCATTGATTCAAGTTAATGTTAGATGATATTTTGAGTGTGGAAATCTGCAAACACACGTTATATACACACACACGTATAATCATAGGCACCTAGCAGTGCCTGTTATTAGCTAAGGTTATTTCCACCATAACCTTTTTTCATAAGCTAATTTTTTTCTGAAACATTCACCCTTTGGCTTGGAATTTTCCATATCTGCTCTTTGCCCAACAGAGAGCACCAACCAACATGTCTCAACCTTCTTTTAGCCTATATCTAAACCGTACACCATTAGCGGTGGTGTGTAGGGTATGTGAATGTTGTGGTGAAAAACGAGCTATGTCCATACTGGAAATGGTGCAAACTGCTTTAGCCTACTTTAAAAACCCCAGCCTTAAATACCTCCAATATAGAGTCTTTATAGAATCAATATAGGTGTTGCTCTAAACAGGATGCAGCACCAATTCAGCAGAGACTTCTGGATTTTATGAATCATATAATCCCCTCTGTCTGCAAGCTGCTATACAACTGAGAGTTTTAGACCTATTAACCTGCTAAGCAGTTAATATTACAAAACTATTTTAGGTCTGTGACTTCATCTCAGCTAGCTGGCTTAAATTCGGTAATACAAATGTGTAACAGTACATACACCTATTAGCAAACAGTATATACACCTAATAGCAAATACTATTACTCTGGGTTAAAAGCAGAGAACAAACATGGAAGCAATTTAATATAAAAAATGACCAACATATTCAGGATATAATAAGCCAGTTTATTATTGATACATGACATATTCGTTATTTTTATATATATTCATATTCATTTATATTCTTTTTATTAAAAATTCAGTTCCTTACAGAATACAGGACGCTTCAGTGTTCAGAAATTAACTGTAAAACGTTTACAATTCATCTGTGCGGTTACGACAAACATCCCTATTTGAGACAGAGTAATTATATTACCTCTTCCAAAACAACATTTTTAAGGGATAGAACAAGATAATGTTCAAATTCCTGTATTTGTTTGTGCACAAGATGAGACTGTCTATTTCATACCTTTAATATCAGCAATTTTTGTCTTCAACAGTGGGTGTGTTGCTAGTCTAGCAGTCGCTCTGTCAGCTGCAGTGGAATTTGGCTGTATAAAAAAATGAAAAATAAATAAGAAATGTTGTATGGTGATAAGGTGGTTGTGTAGATTTTCCTGATCCATACTATAAGACACACTAGTGACAGTGTATAGCCCTCCCAGCCCACTAAAAAACAAAAACTCCAAGACAATGAAAGTTGAAATGTTACCAGGCCTGCACACCTCACATTTGTCTTAAATTAAAATCTCACGTCATCCCAAGGAGCATGAAAGAATTTGACTATGGGGCTACCGATAAGAACATTACAAATATGCACCATTGCAATTGCCCTATTATTAACTATGAGTGATATTGTGATGTTTATGTTTAAGAATAGATTGTCTGCACATCTTCCAGGCTTGAACAACACACTACAATTTTACATTCACTGCATATTTGCTATATTGGTCTACAATAATTCAAAAAAGGCGGAAGAGGACTGTATACACAAGGCCACCTTCTCTTGGCTGGAGGGGTAATAACTTAAGTCAGATAATATTGTTCATCTTTTTTTCATAGAGCTCTAGAGACTAAATTTTGAAGTCATTACTATTATTTCCAATAGAGCTCACAATGTATTAGATGCTTTCCAAACATGAGACAACATTGCTCCTTGTCTCCAAGGACTTTCCAGTCTAAAAGGCAAACAGATGAAGGGGTAGAGGAGAAACGTACAAAGCTAAGTAAGGTAGTCAAAGTAGCAAATAGCCTCATCTTAGTAGCACAGTTTGAAAAACACAACACACTTGTGTTTTTTTAAATAGACGTTATGAAAAAGCTGTGGATAAATAGGAATAAGCAACCACCTGACTTCTTGTAGGAGTCACAGTAGAAGTTAACTTTCAGGAAGTATCTGAACATGAAGAAGGTAGTAACCTTGTGGACCAGCTCAAAGAGGGCATTCCATTTGCATGGGGTGGTTTGGATAAAGGAATAGAGATATTTGTGAGAGAAGCAGGTGGAATGAGGCATCAAGGCTGGCATTAGTACAGCAGAGGAGATAAGGGAAGATGGATAAAGAGATGGGTGGGTAAGTGTTAAGTGCAGAGTTATACAGGGTCTTGAAGGCAAAGGTAAGCTTAAATTTGATGCAGCTGAGCAGAGAAAGCCATTGGAGGGATTTAAAGAGCAGGTTAACATGGTCAGATTGAAAGGCAAGGATGATATTGGGGTTTGTGTTTTTGTATGAAGAAATAAGGGAGACAGAGGACAATTTGGGTGTCATGGAGGCAAAAGGAGGAATTTATAGTAATTAGGGTAAAAGTACTATGGGATGGTGTTTCTTTCCTCTCCTAGCCTTGTGATTTTCAGTTCCTAGTTCTTTGTATGTTGAAAGACAACAGGCAGTTATTAGAAAGATTGTTCTTCAGTCACGACATTGTCCTCACTTTACTGCAAAGTTCTTAATAAGCAAAACTGATTGGGAAGGCATATCAGATCCAGGATGGATTTTGTGGGGTGAAGGGGAAAGAGACACCAAACCCAGTACTGCTAATAGCCCTGTGTTCATCACCTTGAATGTGGGAGACCCAGGTTCAAGTTCCTACTGTGCCTGGTTTGGAAGTGAGTGCCCTAAATGTCAAGCTATTGGCAACACTAGGGGTATGTCTACACTACGAAATTAGGTCGAATTTATAGAAGTCGGTTTTTTAGAAATCGTTTTTATATATTCGAGTGTGTGTGTCCTCACAGAAAATGCTCTAAGTGCATTAACTCGGCGGAGTGCTTCCACAGTACCGAGGCTAGAGTCGACTTCCGGAGTGTTGCATTGTGGGTAGCTATCCCACAGTTCCCACAGTCTCCGCTGCCCATTGGAATTCTGGGTTGAGATCCCAATGCCTGATGGGGCTAAAACATTGTCGCAGGTGGTTCTGGGTACATATCGTCAGGCCCCCATTCCCTCCCCCCCTCCGTGAAAGCAAGGGCAGACAATCGTTTCACGCCTTTTTTCCTGAGTTACCTGTGCAGACTCCATACCATGGCAAGCATGAAGCCCGCTCAGGTAACTGTCACCGTATGTCTCCTGGGTGCTAGCAGACATGGTACTGCATTGCTACACAGCAGCAGCAACCCACTGCCTTGTGGCAGCAGACGGTACAGCACGACTGATAGCAGTCATCATCATGTCCGAGGTGCTCCTGGCCATCTCGGCCAGGAGCGCCTGGGCAGAAATGTGCGCAGGGACTAAATTTGGAGTGACTTGACCACGTCATTCTCTTTAGTCCTGCAGTCAGTCCTATTGAACCATCTTATGGTGAGCAGGCAGGCGATACGGATTTCTAGCAGTCCTACTGTACCATCTTCTGCCAGGCAGGCAAGAGATGAGGATGGCTAGAAGTCCTACTGCACCGTCTTCTGCCGAGCAGCCATGAGATGTGGATGGCTTGCAGTCCTTCTGCACCGTCTGCTGCCAGCCAAAGATGTAAAAGATAGATGGAGTGGATCAAAACAAGAAATAAACCAGATTTGTTTTGTACTTCCCCCTCTCCCCCGTCTAGGGGACTCATTCCTCTAGGTCACACTGCAGTCACTCACAGAGAAGGTGCAGCGAGGTAAATCTAGCCATGTATCAATCAGAGGCCAGACCAACCTGCTTGTTCCAATAAGAACAATTACTTAGGTGCACCATTTCTTATTGGAACCCTCCATGAAATCCTGCCTGAAATACTCCTTGATGTAAAGCCACCCCCTTTGTTGATTTTAATTCCCTGTAAGCCAACCCTGTAAGCCATGTCAGTCACCCCTCCCTCCGTCAGAGCAACGGCAGACAATCGTTCCGCGCCTTTTTTCTGTGCGGACGCCATACCAAGGCAAGCATGGAGGCCGCTCAGCTCACTTTGGCAATTAGGAGCACATTAAACACCACACGCATTATCCAGCAGTATATGCAGCACCAGAACCTGGCAGAGCGATACCGGGAGAGAAGGCGACATCAGCGCGGTCACGTGAGTGATCAGGACATGGACACAGATTTCTCTGAAAGTATGGGCCCTGCCAATGCATGCATCATGGTGCTAATGGGGCAGGTTCATGCTGTGGAACGCCGATTCTGGGCTCGGGAAACAAGCACAGACTGGTGGGACCGCATAGTGTTGCAGGTCTGGGACGATCCCCAGTGGCTGCGAAACTTTTGCATGCGTAAGGGCACTTTCATGGAACTTTGTGACTTGCTTTCCCCTGCCCTGAAGCGCATGAATACCAAGATGAGAGCAGCCCTCACAGTTGAGAAGCGAGTGGCAATAGCCCTGTGGAAACTTGCAATGCCAGGCAGCTACTGGTCAGTTGGGAATCAATTTGGATTGGGCAAATCTACTGTGGGGGCTGCTGTGATGCAAGTAGCCCACGCAATCAAAGATCTGCTGATATCAAGGGTAGTGACCCTGGGAAATGTGCAGGTCATAGTGGATGGCTTTGCTGCAATGGGATTCCCTAACTGTGGTGGGGCCATAGATGGAACCCATATCCCTATCTTGGCACTGGAGCACCAAGCCGCCGAGTACATAAACCGCAAGGGGTACTTTTCATTAGTGCTGCAAGCTCTGGTGGATCACAAGGGACGTTTCACCAACATCAACGTGGGATGGCCGGGAAAGGTACATGACACTCGCATCTTCAGGAACTCTGGTCTGTTTCAAAAGCTGCAGGAAGGGACTTTATTCCCAGACCAGAAAATAAACTGTTGGGGATGTTGAAATGCCTATAGTTATCCTTGGGGATCCAGCCTACCCCTTAATGCCATGGCTCATGAAGCCGTACACAGGCAGCCTGGACAGTAGTCAGGAGCTGTTCAACTACAGGCTGAGCAAGTGCAGAATGGTGGCAGAATGTGCATTTGGACGTTTAAAGGCATGCTGGCGCAGTTTACTGACTCGCTTAGACCTCAGCGAAACCAATATTCCCACTGTTATTACTGCTTGCTGTGTGCTCCACAATATCTGTGAGAGTAAGGGGGAGGCGGGGTGGGAGTTTATGGCGGGGTGGGAGGTTGAGGCAAATCTCCTGGCTGCTGGTTACACACAGCCAGACACCAGGGCAGTTAGAAGAGCACAGGAGGGCACGGTACGCATCAGAGAAGCTTTGAAAACCAGTTTCATGACTGGCCAGGCTACGGTGTGAAAGTTCTCTTTGTTTCTCCTTGATGAAACCCCCCGACCCTTGGTTCACTCTACTTCCCTGTAAGCTAACCACCCTCCCCTCCTCCCTTCGATCACCGCTTGCAGAGGCAATAAAGTCATTGTTGCTTCACATTCATGCATTCTTTATTCATTCATCACAGAAACAGGGGGATGACTACCAAGGTAGCCCAGGAGGGGTGGTGGAGGAGGAGGGAAGGAAAATGCCACACAGCACTTTAAAAGTTTACAGCTTTAAAATTTATTGAATGCCAGCCTTCTGTGTTTTGGGCAATCCTCTTTGGTGGAGTGGCTGGTTGGATGGAGGCTGGGTGTGGAGGCTATGGAACTTGGGGAGGAGGGCGGTTGGTTACACAGGGGCTGTAGTGGCAGTCTGTGCTCCAGCTGCCTTTGCTGCAGCTCAATCATACACTGGAGCATACTGGTTTGATCCTCCAGCAGCCTCAGCATTGAATCCTGCCTCCTCTCATCACGCTGCCGCCACATTTGAGCTTCAGCCCTGTCTTCAGCCCGCCACCCCTCCTCCCGGTCATTTTGTGCTTTCCTGCACTCTGACATTATTTGCCTCCACGCATTTGTCTGTGCTCTGTCAGTGTGGGAGGACAGCATGAGCTCAGAGAACATTTCATCATGAGTGCGTTTTTTTTTCTTTCTAATCTTCACTAGCCTCTGGGAAGGAGAAGATCCTGTGATCATTGAAACACATGCAGCTGGTGGAGAAAAAAAAAGGGACAGCGGTATTTAAAAAGACACATTTTATAAAACAGTGGCTACACTCTTTCAGGGTAAACCTTGCTGTTAACATTACATACATAGCACATGTGCTTTCGTTACAAGGTCGCATTTTGCCTCCCCCCACCGCGTGGCTATCCTCTCAACCCTCCCCATGGCTAACAGCGGGGAACATTTCTGTTCAGCCACAGGCAAACAGCCCAGCAGGAACGGGCACCTCTGAGTGTCCCCTGAAGAAAAGCACCCTATTTCAACCAGGTGACCATGAATGATATCTCACTCTCCTGAGGATAACACAGAGAGATAAAGAACGGATGTTGTTTGAACGCCAGCAAACATACACTGCAGTGCGTTGTTGTACAATGATTCCCAAGTACGTGCTGCTGGCCTGGAGTGGTAAAGTGTCCTACCATGGAGGACGCAATAAGGCTGCCCTCCCCAGAAACCTTTTGCAAAGGCTTTGGAAGTACATCCAGGAGAGCCGCGAATGCCAGGGCAAATTAATCCTTTCACATGCTTGCTTTTAAACCATGTATAGTATTCTGAAAGGTACACTCACCGGAGGTCCCTTCTCCGCCTGCCGGGTCCAGGAGGCAGCCTTGGGTGGGTTTGGGGGGTACTGGCTCCAGGTCCAGGGTGAGAAACAGTTTCTGGCTGTTGGGAAAACCGGTTTCTCCGCTTGCTTGCTGTGAGCTACCTACGACCTCATCATCATCATCATCATCTTCTTCTTCGTCCCCAAAACCTGCTTCCGTGTTGCCTCCATCTCCATTGAAGGAGTCAAACAACACGGCTGCGGTACTGGTGGCTGAACCCCCTAAAATGGCATGCAGCTCATCATAGAAATGGCATGTTTGGGGCTCTGACCCAGAGCGGCCGTTCGCCTCTCTAGTTTTCTGGTAGGCTTGCCTCAGCTCCTTCAGTTTCACGCGGCACTGCTTCGGGTCCCTGTTATGGCCTCTGTCCTTCATGCCCTGGGAGATTTTGACAAAGGTTTTGGCATTTCGAAAACTGGAACGGAGTTCTGATAGCACGGATTCCTCTCCCCATACAGCGATCAGATCCCGTACCTCCCGTTCAGTTCATGCTGGAGCTCTTTTGCGATTCGGGGACTCCATCATGGTCACCTCTGCTGATGAGCTCTGCATGGTCACCTGCAGCTTGCCACGCTGGCCAAACAGGAAATGAGATTCAAAAGTTCGCGGTTCTTTTCCTGTCTACCTGGCCAGGGCATCTGAGTTGAGAGTGCTGTCCAGAGCGGTCACAATGGAGCACTCTGGGATAGCTCCCGGAGGCCAATACCGTCGAATTGTGTCCACAGTACCCCAGATTTGAGCCGGCAAGGCCGATTTAAGCGCTAATCCACTTGTCTGGGGTGGAGTAAGGAAATCGATTTTAAGAGCCCTTTAAGTCGAAATAAAGGGCTTCATCATGTGGACGGGTGTAGGTTTACATCAATTTAATGCTGCTAAATTCGACCTAAAGTCCTAGTGTAGACCAGGGCCGGGTGGGTTTCTCTCCCACATTCCATATCAGAATAAAAAAAAAATTTCAAACTCTCCAACTTCTTTGGAAACAAATGTTTTCTGGCCAGCCCTAGGGAAAAAGTTACAAAATAGTAAGGGAAACTCAACATCTTAGCAGAAGACCATACTGTTTAGGTCATATTTCTTGTTTGAGGAGATGATTTTCTGGGCTTGCCAGCAATTTTCCTTCTCCCCAAGTCCCCCATATCGCAGAAATCTTTCCTCAGGTCAAGGAGGGCTTGGAAAATGTTCCCTTTGCAGACAGTCTGCGATGCTCTGAACATTGGCCAGAGGAGATGGTCCAAGAGACATACATGTTCCATCTCCAATGGGCCTCAGCTGGCTTACTCGCAGGCTGGTTTGGCCTAGAGAACTAGAAGCCAAAATCTAGATCCCATGTGACAACAGTGTATTCTGCTCCCAGACTACTGGGACAGCCTGCTCACATTGCTGAAGATCAAAAGGTATTTTCTTTGGAGATTTTTCTATAGCTGGAAAATGTATTTTTGAACTTAATTAATATACTTTCCCCCTCAGACGCTTCCTGTGGGTTTAGAAAGTGTATACCATAAAGTTCACAAAGCAGCAGTAGCTTCTGTGCAACATCTGGTGTTCTTTAATTCAAGTATTTATGGAAAAGGGTTTAAGTTTATTTGCCAGTTTATATGGAATACTCACATTTTTCTTATAGAAAAATACTCGCAAACACTATCTACATTAGGAGATAGCAGCCATAAACATACAATGTGACATTCTTATCCTTAAACACTTCCTATTTCTGGACTTTTTGGCATATCCAATCTTATGGAAAAACAAATTGAACATAAGAGTTTTATAGTACGAAAAACACTGACAGAAAATCTAATTTAGAAGGAAAAATGTTAAATCTACCCACAGAGGAAAAACACAACACTAAATCTGATTATTTATGAAAATGCTGGAATGGTAAATATTTATTTGTATGAAGCCATACTATTTCTTGTACCACTTTTCACTAATGTGTGTCTTTCATGCAAAAGTCTCAGTATTTTCAAAAGTAGACATTATCCCCATTTTACAGACTGAGAAACTGAAGTACAGATTAGCCCCAGTGACTTACCTGAAGTCATAAAGCAAGTTTCTGGCATGCAACAATAAAATCCGGTTTTCCTGGCTCTCTATCAAGAAGCTTAAACTTACAAAACCTAATATTTACTTAGATGTGCATAAACAGAAATTTTATTTTTTTGGTATTTCTATAGTTGTCTTCTATCCAATATATAATATGTCAAACTAAAAACAATGCTAAAAGAATGTAAAAGTTGCAATGAGAAACTCAAACTATCAGGAAATGCTTAAGGCTGCATGAACAATCACATCTCTATCTTCTTGTACGTATGCATTTATGACAATACCTAACTGCATCACCACATATTATTTCCATAGGATCCTCCTCCCTCATTCAGCATCCAGTCTGGGAGGTGCAATGTGAATAAAGGAGTCGAGTAATATATTTACTGTTCAGTGACTGGCTCCTTCTGTACTCTACATCCAACCTGGGCAGTCATGAGATGCCAACATTGTCTGGCTATATGGAAAGAAGACAGGAGATATGGGATATAGGTCTAATCATGCAGCAAACTTTATTATCAGATGCCTGGGACTATCCAGCAGATAAAAAGTGTACAGTGCAGGTAATCTCATGTTTATTCCATAATTAACCAGGGGGATTTTACCAGCTCCCCCATTTTTCCCATTCATGTCCCTCCAGGAAATCCATTGCTGGGACCTTACCATCCACCCCATCCTCACAGGAGGGTTAAGGTGGGCTATAATAATAGGGGTTGGCTCCCTGCCGTACCAATCATAGGAGTCCCCAACTGCCCCCTGTTCACTCCTTTACCAAACAACTTTTTTTAAGTCCTTTCCCAAGCCATTTATCCGGTCACTGTATACTTTTCCTATGGAGTAACTGCACTGAACATTTGCCACAAAGAGGCAAAAACCATTAGCTTGGCTGCTCCTCCCCAAACCTGGTAAGATTCCCAGACCTCACCTAATGTCCTCTTTTAGATCAGTCAAAAACACGACAGCACCTAAGTCTGAGCGGTGAACCCCATCCTCCCGAAACAACTCTGGTGATCCATATACTATGCCAGGATGTGAAATTACTGCCCCCTTATTCACATACTTCCTGGCCTTGTCCACCCTGGGGGGATAATGGCTCCCTGCCAGACCCTGTGCTGAAGCATAACTGACCATGCAAAGTTAACTCCTGGAAAAATTTTAAGGATCAGCCTCAAGTCCCTCCTTGTTCTGAGCATTAGTTTCACCCTTTTAAGCATTCCCAAATTGTTTCCCACAATGTGTACCACAATTATATCTGGTGGCCGGTGATGGGCCCACACAACATACATCAGCGGTATCAGCTGATCCCATAACATGCCCCTCTTTGGACACCAATGAGTACTGCTTCACCACAGAAGCCCAGCTGCGAACGCTCGAGCAACTCAGATGTGTGCCTATGTGCCCAAAGGACAATACTGTGCCTGCAGATCCACACTGCTTCATGCAAAAGGGAGGGGTAAGGCACAGGGCTGTCCCTTTTCAATCCCTCATTCCCGGGGGATGAGTCAGCAACCTCGCTGACCCTTTGCAGCAGTTTTCCATCTCCCCTTTCCCCCAAGCCATAAAGCATAGTTCCCTTGTTCGGCCAGCCAGTCAAATACCCCTCCGCTTAAAGGTGCAGGGCGGTCATTTTAACAAGGGGCTCCTTCAAAACTTTTTGGCTCACTAATGGCACGTCTACACTGGCAAAGTTACAGCACCAGCAGTTACAGCGTCGCTCAGAGAGCGCATAAGGAAAACCCCTGTTGTGTGTTCACACTGACAGCTGCCTGTGCAATTGCATGTTCACATTTGCTGTACTATTTTGAGTGGTGCACTCTGGGCAGTTATCCCACAGAGCACCACTTTCTCTTTTGACAGTAAGACTTATGAGAAGGCGGAGGGGGTCGTGGGGCATCCTGAGTCTAGTCCCAATGCCCCGTGATGCATTGCTTCGCATCCCAGCAAACCCTGGGCTTCATCTGCATTTGGTGCCATCTTTCAACAGTTTGTGTACTGTGGGCGCTGCCTCTTTCAGGCTGCAGGAATGGATCCCGAACTGCTGACGGGTATGCTGCTCGCTCTGATCAACATATCACGAGTGGCAGTGGAGTTATTCCTTAAACTACAAAGGCAAGAGTAGTGCGACGTTGATCTAGCCATGCATAGGAGCTATGACACGAGATTGCTTGTGACTTTCAGGGAGGTGCTGACCACAGCGGAACACCATTTCTGGGCTCGGGAAACAAACACTGAGTGGTGGGATCAAATCATGATGCACACCTGGGATGACTAGCAGTGGCTGCAGAATTTTCGGATGAGGAAAGCCACATTCATGAGACCGTGTGATGAGCTCGCCCTAGCCCTGCGGCACAAGGACATGAGAATGAGAGCTGCCCTGTTATTGGAGAAGTGTGTGGCAACTGCACTATAGAAGCTGGCTACTCCAGACTGCTACCGATTGGTCACTAACCAGTTCAGAGTGGGAAAGTAGACTGTTGGACACATGTTGATGGAAGTGTGCAGGGTCATTAATTGCAAAGGGTATTTCTCAATGGTTCTCCAGGCACTTGTGGACGTTGCCCGGACATTAACACAGGCTGGTCCAAAAAGGTGCATGACGCACGTATTTCGGAACACTGGCCTGTTCAAGAAGCTGCAAGCAGGGACTTTCTTTCCGGACCAGAATCACAGTAGGTGAAGTCGAAATGCCCATTGTGACCCTTGGAGACCCTGCCTACCCATTAATGCTGTGGCTTATGAAGCCGTACATGGGGCAACTTGACAGCAACAAGGAGCGGTTCAACAACAGGCTGAACAAGTGCAGAATGACTGGAGTGTGAATTTGGCCATTTAAAAACCCACTGGTGATGCCTGTATGGGAAGCTGGACATGGCCAATGACAATATTCCTATGCTTATAGCCGCGTGCTGTACGGTCCATAATATTTGTGAAAGGAAGGAATCGTCTGTTAACAACTACCATGTCTAGTTAAGCTCCACAAGTGACATTTTATGCTAGTTATACAAGCTAATTTTCAGACTTGCAAACTATATGTTGTGCGGAACCAAGAACACCAGCATTGGCTCCTCAAGTTCTGAGCTGGGGATGGGGAAGTAGGCAATGGAAGAGAGAGAAGTGGATTGCAGCAGCTGCAGGATTCCCACTCAGTTGACCCAGCCTCCTCAGCTCTTTATGCAATATTGGAGCAGCTGCCAAGGGTCAGGGGTGGTCTGGAGTGTAGGGACTACATGGAGTGACTTTCATAAGCTTTTAGCAGCACTGTAGGTGAGACGTTCCACTTGCAGCAGCTGCCTGAGTGAGCAAACAAGTCAGCATGAGCATCAGTAAATGTCAACAGAGATGACCCTAGCATTTTTGAGTAGATTTATGAAATGTTTTCAGCTGTAGCTGACATCTATCCATAGGGGTGCTGGAACAATTTATATAGTGGGGGTGCTGATGATGGAAACCAGGCATTTGGTGTTTCTTATTACTACTTCAAGCCAGGAGGTGTGGCAGCACTCCCAGCACCCATAGTTCCAGCACTACTGTCTGTCCACTGTGATCACACTGGCCTAAGGATTTTTTGGAGGGTTAGCAACCTGATACTTCTCAGTAAAACCCAAACTTCACTGAACCATTTCACATAAGAAGTCAATACATGCAGGAAATCTTACGGTCCCCTTTGGTTTCTGTCAGTTACCATTTTCAAGGGAATCTTTGTAAGGGAAAAGCCTAGAGCAGCGGTTCTCAAACTGACTGGCATCAATGCTGTTGACTCTTCTTTTTTGGTGGAGTCTGGCACCCAGGTGCAGGCTTGAATATCCAACTTTCTGAGCACAGTTGAAGAGTAAGCGAGTTGCCCTGTTCTATATGCGTGGCCTGAGACCAAGGCTAACCACTTTCACACATCCCGTGCATTTAGCCCTGTTCCTCTTATAAAGTGAAGTATATCCCAAAAATGCTGGAGGCTGTGCAACCTGTCCTTCAATTATACTACATCCACACCTGTCTCCTTTTTCTCCCATCAAAAATGAATGACTATACTTGAATATGTAAATGAGTTTCTATCATGGTTTCTCACCCCCTTCTTTCAACAAGCATAGATGATGAAACTAGGGGTGCTGCTGCACACCTTGGCTTGACAAGGATTCCATTATATACAGGGATTACAGTTTAGTTCAATGGTTCTGAGCACCCCCATCATAAAAATTGTTCCAGCAACCATGTCAACAAGAGGATTTTCCAAGATGT